CAAAACAACCTCCAGGATTCTACAAGCCATCAAAAAAGAGCTATTACCGGAAGTGACGTCTATTGATAGCAACCTATAATTCCATTTTAGCTTCTTGTGGAAGAAGACCGTCAGGAGCCCGCGTAGTCGGTGGAGAGGAAGCAGTGCCTCATTCGTGGCCATGGCAACTGTCATTACGTAAATATGGAAGACATACTTGTGGAGCTTCACTCATTACCCCTGGATGGGCTCTTACCGCTGGTCACTGTGTTCGAAGGAGTTTGAACGCTAAGATGTATTCTGTTGTGGCAGGTAAATATATAAAATAGATGTTGACTGACTGACTGACTGACTGACTGACTGACTGACTGACTGACTGACTGACTGACTGCTGACTGACTGACTGACTGACTGACTGACTGACTGACTGACTGACTGACTGACTGACTGACTGAAGGAAGGAAGGAAGGAAGGAAGGAAGGAAGGAAGGAAGGAAACACTTTCATTGCTCAACAATACATAATTAATTGCCTAATATAATATAGGTTACAGACGAATTTTCAGTGTTCACACGCTCACTCGTTTGCACTTGATTTTGCCAATAGATCTAAACTGACGACAAGATATTGTCCTATTGTTTGCAGGTGCTCATCAACGTGTAGGCGATGGGACGGAATACCACATATCCAAGATTATTTTGCACAAAGATTATTCACATGTTTTCCATGATGTTGCTTTGCTCAAACTGGCAAAGGCTGTGATTCTCAATAAAAATGTTGGGACAATTTGTCTACCGAAGCAGAACGATCGGCTCCCGACTGGGAAAAAATGTTACATGACAGGTACATGTTATTCTTTTGCTTTTGAATGTGATAATCACATATTATTATATAATTACCAATGAAATATCCATTTTTCTCTATTTCGAAAAATTGATATCTTCACACGTGAAAATAACATGTTATTTTCACGTGTGAAAATAACACCATTGCGATGGCTATTCAAAAATACACGGAAAGAATTGCCTGAAAAAGCCAAAACATACTTCTTGATAATTATGTAATAAACAGAATATTACATGGGCGCTTGAAGATACGCAATTTATCTTCTCGTGTTGAAAATCTCACTCGTTCGCTACGCTCACTCGTGAGAGATCTTTTCAACACTCGAAGATAAATTTCGTATCTCCGCGCGCCCATGTAATATCCTCTATATAATTATGCTAGATGTAAAAAAGAATTTAATGCAAGTTAGATAAGGTTGAAAACTCAAAGCTCTACGAGAAAGTGGGATGAATCTTATTGAATTATTGAATCTTGTCGAATCTTATTGACATCCTGAAACAACCTCTGGGCTGATCTAGGTCAAGTCTCTCGGCTAACTCACAGATCGAACCCTCAAACAACCTCCATGGGCAAATCTAAGTCAGGGCACGGCTAACTCACAGATTGAACCCTCAAACAACCCCTGTTGCACATGAGAAAATACACATGAATATGRATACAACTCAAACAAAGAATCTTATTCTCAGAAGAATGACACGTGGTCTGAAATGGGAAAACATTACGCCCGAGCCGAAGAGCGGTCTGTTCTAGTCTAACTTGTAAATCGTTGATTAACAGGGTGGGGTCGATATTCTGGCTCACATAACGCTGGATCACCAAAGCTAAAACAAACATTTGTCCCCATCGCCGAACACCAGAAATGCAGAACCGTGAACGGGGCTTCAGTGAAGGAAGACATGATGGTCTGCGCTGGAGGGACTGGGACTAGCGTGTGCAATGGTGACAGCGGTGGGCCGTTATCCTGTGAAGAGAATGGAAGATGGGTTTTGAGAGGCGCAGCATCATGGGTCACTGATCGTAGTTGTCCCGGTGACACATACTCTGTTTACGCTCGGGTGAGCAGTTATATTGATTGGATTAACAAAAATATGAAAGGTATGTCAAGCTATGATCCGGCTTCTTTCCCATTCAATGCATACAGCTGATACAGCTGTGTTTTATGACCCCAGACTCATTTTTTCAATGTTTAGTCTCGTTGAAGGTGCGAATAGGTGGCAACCAAATAGCGCAACGTTGTTGCATTGCAAGTGGCAGAGCAATTGTTGCTCGTATTAGAAACTAGTTAGCACAAAATAGCACCAATGACAATTGAAAACTAAAGAAATAGATGTGTTTAGTGCTATTTAGTTTTTGTGCTATTTCAATGGATATATGGTTTGCACTCGACCACTCAATGCAACAAATTTGCTTCGTTGCTTGTAGAGAGAGTTTTTACTTCATGGAACAATGAAGTAGAAATTTGTGGAGTGGTAGTACGAGCAACATTTCCTCTGCATAATGCGATGCAACAACGTTGCGCGAAATGTCGCCTCACTCGCTTAACTTCGAGATATTCCGCGTTATAAATTCAAGTTTCTCCACCAATTTCTCCACTTTTTTGCCACATTTTTATCTATAGTTTCCTTTTATTATGATTTTTTTTCCCCTAATTTTTTTTTTTTTTTCCCCACTTTATTTCATTTCGATTTTACCCTTTTACATTTATAATATAGATTCCTGTTTAATTTGGCTGTGAAGTTTGGCGGCGTCGTGTTCATGGGGCGGCGTTTCGACGTTGCTGAAGTATATTATTTACGTTCAGCTGCGTCGCTGCGTCGTCCGCGTGAGCGTGGTGTCGCTGAGCTTCACAGTTAAATTTATATATAGTTCATTTTAATCTTGATGTATTGTTTTATTATACTATAGTTAATTTTTCTTATAAGTTCTTGTTGATAGTTGTTATTACATATATTTTATATTTTTAAATTTGTAAATATTAGTAGTTTTATGTTGAGGGCCACAAGTTTATTAGTGTAGTACACTATTTAGTGCCACCCTCATTAAATAAAGTTGTTAATTTCTGTGTCCCCATCCCACCACCAAGCAGCATAATTTATCGTGTACAAGTTAAGTCATTGGCAAGTGAGCGATACGTACGGAATCGTTCTCTACCATGAAGCTACTTACTAAATATTAACTCATTGATAAACCTTATTTCATACATTACCAAGTGTGCCAAAAATATTGGCACCATTCATTCTCTGATATGTCAGCCAAAACACAGCTGGTTACTTCACAGCTAGCTTGCTTAAAGATTTAAATCTGTCCATATGCATTTCCCCCAGATAATGGTGGCAGTGGTAGTGGTGGAAATGGCGGCAATGGCGGGAACGGTGGTACTGGAGGGAACGGCGGCAATGGTGGCAACGGTGGTGGAAGCACAAGTAAGATCACTAGCCCATGATTATTACAATAACTTGCTACATAAATTTAAGCGGGAATTGCCTCACCATGCTAAAGTGCTAAATACAGTCAACCGTCATTTCAGCGGAAATCCTCAGGACCGTCATTTTGCGTCCGTAGTTAATTACGGTCTTTTCTTCATATGTTTTTTTTTCATCGACGGGGATTTTGCTCCTGTCCGCAATAGTGAGATGTCCGTTATATCAGGGTTTCACGAGGCGAGTGTTGACTATACAACAGTATAAGAATATCTTATGATTTCAAAATTAATCTTCAAATTAATAGAATAATCTCCAAATTACTAATAATATCTTTAAAAAAACCTAATTATTGGATAAAGAGCAGAGATGTATCGATTTTAAAGGGTTTGGCGGATTTTCCTTAAACTGTTTTTTCTTTCTTCTAGCATGCAAAGATAATCATCCCAACTGCAAGTCTTTTGTGAGATTCTGTAGCTACAGTCCCAATGTCAAACGACTTTGCCGTAAAACATGTCGACTTTGTTCTTGTAAGTATGTCTATAACACTGTTTTCACTGATTGCTATGCACAACAGTTGCAACATGCAAATCGGGTAATAGACTACAATGGTCTACTATTAATCAAYACATTGTTCGGCACTTTTACATCCACTACCTTCCATACATCGTAGTCAAATACAAGAGTCATTCAACCGAGGCTACAAGGTTCAAATTTGAATAATCCTTTGAAACTACCTCGAAGCTCGCCTCAGTGCTTTGTGTTTGACCAATGAAAACAGCTGTGGCAACGTAATATGTGATAGATCCGCGTCCAGAAGCGCTTGAATGCGAGGCCACACGCAGGAAATCTATTGCTTTCAGTCAACATTGCTGCCATGAATGCATAAGAAAAAAGTTATTATCACTATGAAAACCTCATCTTACGACCGTACGTACAATACCGAGCAAAAGAGGCGTGCAAAACTCCAACTTTTCGTTCAAAAAAAGCTGCAGACTCGTGTATATTTACCACAATATTCCGTGTTGCGCTATATCAGGAGCCCATAACCCGTAGCGTACAACTAGTGTGTCTTTCTTAGGAATTATCGTTTTCACATCTATATTTAGAACGGCTTTCATTCCCTCGAGAAATACAGAACAAAGGATTGACACAATTATTTCATTTCTTGCAGAGTTTTCATGAAGAAATCAAGCACGAAACGTCAATGTAATGTAACTTTGCAGATTGTCACATGCMATGCTTATATGCCATCAATAATATAACCAACAATAAAAGTCACGTTATATTTCCTTGAGTAACTTCTCATTTTCTTTGCCTCATGATTTAATGATGGKTTTCAACCATTCCCAAGAGAATTAAATAACAAAAGACACGGTGGCCATGTTAGAGGATATAACAAAAGAATTCATTGACAATTCTTTTGTTAAGTTCCTCCAACATGGCCGCCGTGAAAACCATCAATACAAACTGTCGCTGGTATTTAAAGAAAGAAAGAAAAGGAAGAGTAAAGGAAGAGAGAGAGAGAGAGATAAAACAAGTAACAACCAGGTGATCTCAGTTCTATCAGGCAGAACGAATTGGTAAATCAGCCAACGCTTTGTTCGTAGTTCAAGATTTCCTATTTCCAAGTTTTCGGTTCGAAAAAAAACCGTCTTAACTCGAAAATAAAGAAAATAAAGCACATCCATGGAAAAATTTACGGAATAACTTTTAAAAGTAGCATATTTTGTTGTCGTTGGTGGAAAATATTTCGTTTTATCAGGAGAACATTTACAATTCCAGCATGCAAGACCAACAGATTTAAGAACACTTTCATAATTGCAGGAGCAAGTAATCACGATAACCTTGATTAATTCCCCCTTTTTTAAAATATTAATATTAATATTAGTATAACAGTATATATGGTTTTTGGATTTTCTTTCTTTCTTTCTTTTTTTWAAATATATAATTCCTTTATTGTATTACTTACTTAATTCAGCCTTTGGCTGCATATGTACTTTACTTAATAAACGATCTAAGTGACTTCAGGAAATCTAAGAGATAATAGAAAACACTTGGAACTCTGTGAAGAACCATGTATTGCGTGCCTATGTTTCAAATCACCTGGAAGTAAATCACTCATAATATATCAAGAGCGAGAATAGCTACAACTACAACAGAACCCTTATTCACCCAGCACTTTCTTCTGACACCCATCTTGTAACAACTTGTTCTTTATATGGTTTGCATTAAATATATACACTCTCCTAAGCATGTCTTTTTTCTTCTAGTTATTTCCATCTCACTTCTTTTCTTTTTGTTTCATTTCACATATTTCCCCCTCTTTTTATTTTACTTTTATTTTTTATTCCTTCTATTTTATTCTTTTATTCTCCCCTATATAAGGTTGAAACACTGAACAATTGTTTGTAAACTAACCATATTCTTTTTGGGCGTTTTTAGTGATGTAGTTTATTGCAACAGATGTATCACGACTGAATAAACATTTAGAAAATAACTGAGTTCTATCATCGCGCGTTCTGATTGGTCTAAATACCGTCGTGCAACATGCGGGGTGCGTGCAGAGCGAACACTCGAGAAGCTGGAAACCACTTTGTGTATTTCTTAATTAATGTGCTAAAGAAAGCAAGAAAATAACAAATACCTAAAGAAAAATGCTAGAATATGGGAAAACAAACATTGAAAAGAAACATGGAACAAGAATTTTAGACCATTTCCGTATCTCTTCGTAAAAGGTTTTAGTCGTTCATATTACTTTCGTAAAATTCATTGGCTTAAAGAGTTAAAAAAGTGAAAAATGAGGATAGAATAGAGAAAAAAGGAATAGAAAAAGAAATTTAAAAAAGGAAAAAGAAAATAGGGACTGCAAGATATCAAAACAAAGCAAAACAACCAACCAAATGTATAGTATTGTTGGATTTCAATCATTCCCAATAAAGTGAAACAACAAAGACACGGCGGCCATGTTGGATGATATAACAAAAACGTTCATTGACAATTCATTGACAGTTCATTGTGAAATTCAATCAAGATGGCGGCCATGATGTCATGTGCAAATGTAGCATTGTTGCATAAGCTGATTCAACTTGAACGTATTTGTTTGTAGGATGTTTTCGTCAATGTTTCAAGCTTCCCAAACACGCGATCCTTCCTGTTTACCAAACCTGTCCTCATAGGAACACAGCTGAACATGTCTGTACACATTCGTAGTATAAAGGTCAGGGTATTAGTTTATTGCTTGCTTTGCTCTGCCTTTTTTATAATAGCTAGCAGTCAATTCAAGTATGAAGTCTTTGCTACTTCCATTACTTTGTCTCTTAGTTCCTGCTTTAGTGAAAGGTATGTTATGGTTATGATTGCATTGCTGCTTAGCATAGCATTTTTTTCTTCTTTTTTTTCATTTTTTTTCCTTTTTTTTTTCTTTTCATTTTCTTTATGTTTTATGTTTAATGTTTTATTTTGTTTTTAATTTTATCTCTTTGAAATGATATAAATGTTAATGACTGATATTACAGTGCAAGAGGCGATATAAGAGTAGTGTCATACACTGTACATGTATGTATTAAATTGTTTTTGGTTCTTATCCGGGGGAAAATATGTAACGACATGGTTGTCGTTACATATTTTCACTTGTTAAGATATCTATAAAACAATCAAATAATAATACATATAATGCATGGTCTTTCATGGTCCACACGAAATTATCACAATATTTATAAATATTCATATACGCGGTGCCGTTGTTAAGTGTGCAGCTGCTGTGGGCTTGTCACACGTAGCCACTTTTAGCATGCAACAAAAAGCCGGGCACATATAACAGATAAGAGGCTAGGATTCTGGCTTGAAAGACAATCGCGTTTCATTGGCTGGAAACAGCTAGCATTCCATTATTGACGTATTCGTACGATGCAAAAGAAGACACACAATTGCTATTCTTAGTGTGTACCCTAGGCTTTAATTTGCAAAATAAAATATATAATTGGGATCAAGAAAAAAATAAAAAATAGAAAAAAATAAAGATAAAAAATAAAAAAAGCAAGGAAATCTGAGAGATCGATTTTAGCTTTTTTTCCTGTTTCAGCTACTTGTGGGAGAAGACCTGCAGGAACTCGCATAGTAGGTGGCGAAGTTGCTGTACCCAACTCATGGCCATGGCAACTGTCGTTAAGGCGCTATGCGAGTCATGTATGTGGTGCTTCACTTATTTCACCTGAATGGGCAGTCACCGCTGGACACTGTGTAAGCAGGACCCAAGACCCAAAGCAATACTCCATCATTGCAGGTACATTGGAAAAAATTGCCCATACATTTGGAATATTTGCTCTTTTCGGTCCTTTTCCCCTCTTTCCAAAGCAAAAGGTTGTTCTTAAAAGTAAAGTTATATAGTACTAGTAAACTGCGTGACACAACATCCTAAATGACCTGTAAATCTTCGGTTCTTTCGCTAACTACCGTAGTTAGCGTGTTTTCGAGGTTACGAAACCTAAGAAACTGCCATAAGAGACAAATGCCTAGATAGTCATTATTTTGAGAAAAGATCCAAAAACCGTGTTTTTGAGACATAATTTGTATGGGATCACATGAGGGGGCGTGAGCTTGAAATCGTAGCTGACCAAATGTTAACAGATTTTTTCTGATGAAAACGACTACTCCCTGGCTGGGAAGGCACAAGTGAAAAACGTCTGCCCATGCTCTGAAACCGTATGCAAATTACTCAAAACATATGTAAATTTGACTTTCAAACATGCTTGATAAATTGGACTTCACATAATGCCAAAACTTAGTGCCCATGCTTGAAATTTAAGGCTAATTCTTTCATATTGTGTTTGGTAATACAGTATCTTGGTCTGACAAAAGTATACGCTCAAACTTTTTTGTATACTTGGAGAAAACTAACATTTATTTTCTCACTCAAACTCTTCAAAATTTTTAGAAAACGTGCTGAAATGCGCGCATGTGTAAACGTTTTTCTCTAGTGTCGCCTGGGTATTCTTGTGGTGCATGTTATAGCCGCCATGCCTTGATTGTTTCTTATATCTCAAGGGATTTTTCGGTCACATGGTCGCACTCCAAGAATAGGGTATATTTGTTTGGCGATTTTATGGTTTTTTTATTGACATAACAAGGAAAACATTTTCTCAACATTTTTTGTCCAATGTCACCGGTATTTTTGTAGCTCGATATTTTTTGAATATTTTCGTATATATTGTTTTGTGTTTAATGATACTGGGTTTCTGTCGAATCTATCCAAACGTTATGATATTCAAGACCTCCACGTTTCAAAAAAAAAAAAAGAAAAACTTCGGAAATGCTGAAAGGTTTTTGAATTGAAACATTACAATGATATTGATTCTTTCACTTGTATTCAGCAACTATAATATTCTTAAAATGTTTTCGGTGTTAAGGTGTCGGACGTCAGTGTTTTTTGCACGTATTTAGGAAATTTAGGAAGTTTATTGTCAGTCATAACGGCGTGACTTTCAAGACGAAATATCCGTACTTATTTTGCGCGATAATTACAACCTACCAAGTAACTTCAAATAGAATATTGCTAAGTTAACAGATCAAACTTAAAAGAAAAAAAAAAAAAAAAGTAAAATGTCCAGGTCTCAAGACATTTGCTTAAAGAAATGATAATATTATTTTTTGATAACACAATCAACCGCTTTTGTTGATATCTCATAAAGTTTCACATTTTATGTTTGATTATTTATTCAAAAGATGTTGAGGATGAACAAACTTCAGTTAATCCAATAATCAAATAGTCTTTTAATTTTATCAAATCTTCAAGTGTTATCTATACTCTAAAACGATTACTGGGTTGATGTAAGTCAGGGCACGGCTAACTCTGCCGCTAATAAAAGTCGTTTACTACAACTACGTAACAAAATTCTTGCTACTTTCATTTTTTTCAGTTAATTAGCACCAACTATATATATCTTATACGATTTTCATAAGGCGATGAGCATTTGAATAAGAAAGAACATTCTGGCATCATTGGTACTTAAAATGTGGCCATTATATATTTCTGGGTCGCAAGCATTCCCAAGAGATACAAAAGATAAAAACATGGCGGCCATCTTGGTGCGATTAATAATGGATGCTGATGAGAAATCGTTTGTTAAATTGTCACCAACATGGTCGCGACGACGCAGTTAAAGAATAAATTGAATGGTCTATTCAGATACAGTCACCAAAACCGCGGTATTAATTTATCTATAATCATTTCAGGAGCTCATCACCGAGAAACAAGTGGAAAAATCTACCGAATTTCCAAGATTATCCTTCACGAAGACTACTCTCATGTACAGAATGATGTGGCTCTTTTAAGGCTTGCTGTGAAAGCGACATTGGATGACAAAGTGGGAACAATTTGTCTGCCAAAGCAAGGTGATAGAATTCCAAATGGAAAAAATTGCTTCATGACAGGTAAGCTGACTGTTTGCTTCCTCTTGCCGGGAGCCAATAGTTTTATTTTTTTAATGTCATTTTCGTTTCTAATCAGTAAGACAAGACATAATTGAAGTAAAGGGGAACAAAGAAATGGAATGGAAAACTATTTAGAGCTCAGCTCGATATTCATATCTTTGGATAAGCACTGAGTACGTCTCATTTACTTAACCCGTGAAATAGATATTAGACTAATAAACATTAGTAGATCCTGATTTCATTTGTCTTAGTCTTTTGTTTCTATCTGACTAGAGTGATTTTATTTATTTCGCGAAAGAAAAATAACTATTTAGTCAGTACGTATATTAGTTAATAAAAGACAAAAGAAAACAATGGGTTCAGAGTCTACCTATAACTGTAATGCGTACTTTTTTTTCACACGGGTCAAAGAAAATCACTCTGTTACATGTTAACAATGGGTAGTATTTTTCATTTCAAGGGTTAAATGCTTTCACTCTACTAGCTCACTTTGTACTAGTTAACTAGACCCATACACCGTACAAAATAATAACATATACTCTCGTTAAACAATAATTCAATTTACAGGTTGGGGCCGTTTCTCTGGCAGTCACCCTGCTGGATCTAAACTCCTCAAACAAACCAACGCCCCAATAGCTGATTACCAAACGTGCAGGAAAGTCAATGGCGGGTCGGTGACGGACAAAACCATGGTGTGTGCAGGAGGAAAAGGCAGTAGTGTTTGCATGGGAGACAGTGGAGGACCACTGTCCTGTGAAGAAAATGGAAGATGGGTGCTACGTGGGGCAGCATCCTGGGTGACTGACGTCCAATGCCCTGTCAATACATACTCAGTCTATGCCCGTATAAGTAATTTCGTGGATTGGATCAATAACAAAATAGCAGGTGAGTGTTTCAATTGTATAGAGCGTTTCAGGTGACGTCACAGCGGCCACGTTGATGTACCAAAGCGATACAGTTTCTATTTTCCGGGAATTGAATTCTATATTTATGCAAATTGATGGTTTTCACAGCCGCCATGATGGATTCGTCATTAGTCTCTTTTGTTATATCATCCAACATGGCCGCCGTGTCTTTTGTTATTTTATTTTCTTGGGRATGATTGAGAACTATCAGTACAGCGCAGAAAGTTTCTATTGTTTGCTACACCAATATGGCTCACGTGAGTGAAAACGCTCTATTGCCAACTAAAGTCAATGCTTCTGCATCGAGGGCTTCAGTTTTCTCCGGGTCTCCAGTTTTCCTCCCTTCGCAAAAATCAACTCCTAAATTCCAATTCTATCACGGAATGAGGGCCACAGGTTTGTTAGCCACTGGCTATTAAGTGCTACCCTCGTAAAATAAGGACGGTCAATAATAAGAGAAATGCAAATTTAAGAAAATTTCGAGAAAAGAACGACGTTCTGTCTCAAAAAATAAACGATCGAAAAATTAGTGTTTTTTTTATTTCTTTCGTAATTTTATATTTAAAATGTTATTTGTTTATTAATTATTCGTTATTTAAGAGTGTTCGTGAATTGAGTATAATTTTCTTTGTACTTCATCTATATCCTTTTCTATTTTTCTCCTTCATCTATATCCTTTTCTATTTTTCTCCTTCATTTATATCCTTTTCTATTTTTCTCCTTCATCTATATCCTTTTCTATTTTTCTCCTTCATCTATATCCTTTTCTATTTTTCTACTTCATCTATATCCTTTTCTATTTTTCTCCTTCATCTATATCCTTTTCTATTTTTTTCCTCCATCTATATCCTTTTCTATTTTTCTCCTTCATCTATATCCTTTTCTATTCCTATCCCTTTCACTTCATCGTTTTCCTCCCATTTTCTTTCAACTTCCGGCTCATATTTATTCCATGTTCAGTACTTCAGCTTTGTGTTTTAACAAATCTTCTTAATAATTTATAGACTGATTCCATAAGTCGTAGTTTTCGCTCCTTCAGTGGGTTGTGATCGCTCATCTAGCGTGTGTGAGCAATATCCAGAATCGACAGAAGAGCGAAAACACCGAATTATGGAATCAGTCTAAATAATCTATTTTAGGTGAAGGCGGAAGTGGTAGTGGCGGCAATGGTGGCAACGGTGGAAATAGTAAGTAATATTTACCAACTGTCAACATTTATTTACTTTCTTTTATAACGGGCCAAGAATGAATGATACCAGTAAAATATATTTTTGACAACGAAGGATTTACAGCAGTAAGTAAGAGGGTTTGAAACAGTAGAAAGTGCAGGAAACTGATAGGTAAAGTTAACCTGTAAACAACACGTTAATTTATATGTGTATGCTACACATTAATTGTTAACGGTTGGAGTGTCTTCACTGAATATTTTTCAACAACTTTCTTCAGCTAACAAATTAATGATCGTTGGCAATCAGCATTGAAGTTTGCCTTTTTTCTTGTTTTCGATAACTTAAGAGTGACTGGTTTCTCATGATATGGCCTTTGTTTAGCAAATATTTACATTTGAGTTGAATCAAATTTAATTGAAATTTTAACACACGACACCAAAAATGTCACTTTTTACTTGAGCTGATTCTGATTCTTGTTCCAAGTATTGAAGTATTGAAAAATTAATTAATATAAGTCATGATTGCTAACCAATTCTTAATAATTTAGGTTGCAAGCCTAAGTTTCCATAATCATTATCCATTGATAATACCTTTTCGCATATCACATTTTCAGTACAACTAGTTTTCACAGTAGATTTAAATCCTTGTCCCACAAACTACTACATAGTACCTGTTTCAAAGAGTACATAGCGAGGCTATTTTATTTTATTTTCACAGGACCAAAAAACAACAAAAACAATTTATAATCAATTTTCTTGAGTCTTGAACTCTGAGATGTTCTAACTAATTTGATGAGCTTGAGTGGGACATAGCAACGGCAACTAAGGGGATTCGGAACTACAAATAAAACACTTATTCAAGTTATTCTTGTGTTTTTCAGCGTGTCAAGATAACAATGAAAACTGCAAGCTGTTTTCTTTCCAATGCAAATTCAATCCAAGGATTAAACGAATCTGCCCCAAAACCTGCAAACTCTGCAAATCAACTTGAGCTGAAGGTGGGTATTGTGACACTAGTTTTCACTGGAAATTATATCCATTTATTCAGATCTTTTCATTCTAAACATTTAGTAGATTTAACTTAGCTTTTGTATTAAGAAAATAGAAAAAAATTAGAAATAAAAAATAATAAAGAGAAAGAGAGAGAGAGAGAAGAAAAAAAGAAAAGAAAAATGCCTAACATTTATCTATTTTTATTTTATTTGCAATGATATTCATCATTATCAGGTGCTTCTTCACTATAAGTGATTTTCAAGAACTGTCCTGTAAAAACGGATGTAAAAAAAATTGATCTTTAAATATTGTTTCATTCTTTAATGGCTTCATATGATAGCCTGTCTTTTTCCCCAATTCGTTTTTTAACTTTGGGCAAATAAAACTCACTCATCCCATGTCTCGCTTTTTCTTTGAAACATTCTCATTTAGTTTGGTCAACCTCTCGACTTATAGTGTTCAAGTAGCTTTCACTTTCCTTGCACCAATCCCAAAGGCAACGAATACGCCTAATTATCCAACCATAGCGCTCCATTTTGACGATGAAAAGAGAGCGAAACAAGCTATACGTATTTCCGATCGCCACGTATTATAGTATTTCTATACAAAGCATTTTTATCTTTTCTACAGAAAAATTCTCTCCTAGTGGATAGACTGAATTTGCATTGATTGCACTATTTTTTTACACCAGAATTCGTATAATAAGAGCAGGTCGAATCAATGACATTTTTTGAGTTCACAACCATTGAATAAAAACATAACTAAACCGGAGCTAGACATATATAGATTGGTTTAATAACGTTTACGTAGTCTTTTATCTATATTATAAAAGTTTCGTTATTTTAACTTTTACTGAAGAAGGCTAAAAAAGTAGTCCAATATATATGATGATTTTCAATTTTAATTCAGAGACGAAATATTTAGTAAAATATGGCTCAATGGGTCCTGCTGTTATGGGATGGACCGCTCTCGGTAGAGCTACGGAATCTTTATTCTACTTTCTCTTCACTCTGACTAAAACTAATTACATGAGCTCTATTTATAATAACTTCATGACAGGTGTCATTCTACAATCAATATGATATTATCGCTGAGTCTTGATTGGCTAATGGAAATAGTAAATTCCTAAGTGTGATATCTTATTTAAGAGTAATACGAGTGAAAATCTTAGAACTAAACATAACTTAAACTAAAGATAATATGTGAATATATGGTAAATGTATAGAAAGGTCTACGAGGAATATATATRTCATAAGATTTAAAAGAATAGTGCTAAAATAACTAAGCAAAGGGGTAAAGAGTGTTTAGGGTGTAACCATAGGTGTACATGCTAATGGGAGGAGCTAAGTGGTTTACTTGTAAATTCAAAGCATACCATTATCTAAACTTGTGCGTGATGGCAGCCTTACTGAAATCTTATATCGATATTTTCAATAACTAATTGATCGTTCTTTATCTTGTTTTCATACGATAAGAAATAGTAATTAGAAAACTGATGTCTAGCTTAGTCTGTAAAAACATTAATTTTCTCTCTCATAACACTGCTGCAAACTATCAATTTTCGAATGCATTGTTAACCCTTTCTCTGGGAATATCTTAAACAGAATCTTTAAAACAAGTGCATTGTTCATGGCTTTTTAAAATCCCGTCTGGTTTTTGAGTACTCTGTTTAACTAAACTAAATTATTAAAGAAGAGGTAACTAGCTAAAAACCTGTGAGCTGCGTCGGTGTTTCTAATGAAACAGTAATAAAAGGATAAATTATACACCGTGAAAAGATGAAAAAACTTTCTGACGTTTCGGACTCTAGTCCTACTTTTACTCCGAAGAAGGACTAGCGTCCGAAACGTAAGAAAGTTTTTTCATCTTTTCACGGTGTAAAATTTACCCTCTTCTCATTACTGTTAAATTATTAAAGAACTTTTCTTCCCTTTTTCTCTCAACAGAAATGAAAAGCCGGACTCTTCGTTGAAGCCAAATAAAGAAACCATAATCATTCCTAGTCTTATTTTCTTGCTTCTGAATTTATTCATTGCTTTTCACTGCAACTCTCTATATAGCTGAGTTTTTATCATTTAAAGCATAGTTAATGGAGCGGAGTGTTTGAGAAACCTATTATTCTAGGTTTTTGTTCGACTTTATCCATTGTTATCATGAAGTTGACAGTGCACAGAGAAGGGAAATTTGCCCCATTTGTTCACAGTATTCGGGAATATAGAAGTTTTYCCCCCCTAAAAATTCGTTATTTTTTGTTGATTATTATAGTTATTCTTTGTTAAGTAATCCTATGTCATTAATTGTTTTTCTTATATATCATCTAGTAACTTAACTGTATCTGCGCGGAAATATTTATCCGCATGGTTTTTGGTCATCGAATAATATAAAAGTTTTCGCTTTCAAAATGTTCATACATGAAAATAATAAGGAAATGAGTATTTTCAGCCATACTTGCTTTGGTTTGTGCACGGTCAGTATCACGTGATGGTACGATTCAACCTCAAACGTAAAACAATAGCTTTGTATCAACCCATTCCGCCATCTTTGTTTTTCCATTTCAGTGTTGAAATAAAGCAGGTGACAGCTAATGAACGTTCTTGACACATCTTTAGACACATCTTGATTAATGCAATATTTTTCTGTTTACGATTTCTTTTTTAAAGTCATTTTTTAAAAGCTTTTCTGGTATTTTCTCTCCTCAAATTAAATTCACGGTTTAAAATTAATTTGTCATACCCTGCCGAACCTCATATCACACACAGGTTGTAATTTCAACTTTAAAACATWTTAGAAAACAGGTATCAAATTCGGCGTTTTCTTGATAGGAAAAATTATCTAAGGCAATATATCTTAGTGGGAATAACCTTTCATCACAAGGAAACAGTTTGATTACAAACCGGCAAGGATAACTTTCTGCTAAATCAAGTAAACAATAAAGAAAATCTGTTTGCTCATAACATAAATATACCTTTTTTCTATAAGCCGACGGAGCCGCGAAGCCGCCCTAATAATTCAAAAGCAATATGCAGAGTACTTTAAATAGTTCAGCATTTYCCCCCCAAGAACTTTTTTATATATTATTTCGTAAGCGGAAGGTTAAAGTAAGTCTAGCAGCATTTAGCACCACTTGAAAACATTTCAAAGTCTTCGACAGTTAAATGAAATGCCACATCACCGGCCCATTTAATGAATTTTTACTCAAAAGAGAAAATGAGGATTTGTTATTTATCCAAGCTATGTAGAAGATGAGTGAGTTGACAAAGTTTGACAACATTTGATGTAGTCGTTGACTTGTACCGGCCGTGTTGTTTAAAAGTACCGTTTAAAAGTACCGACGATCCAACTAGTCAAATACTGTAAAACAATATTACACATTTTCTGCCATGTATATTGTAGTCATACATTTTATTGAATATTATTTTCCTTGGCAGAGTGAAAAATACTCGAATTTTAACTGTATTCAACAGAGTGATTTGTAATTCYCTAGCAGCGCCTTGGCCAGGCAGTAATCGTTTATTTTTTTGAGGGGGGTTTCAGTTGAATGAGTTATGTTTTATAGTGATCGATGGAAATTGAATGAAATTAACCCAAAAAATTCACAAAGGCGTCAAAGGTTTGTCTTATAAACTAACAGCTGGATATTTCATAATTAACAATAATCATTCCAAAATATAAATGCTGAAATAACTTTGGGCTGAAAGTAAAACGAAAAATAATTTAAATGGATATTTTTCCTTGTTAACTCTATATTTTTTCTTCAGCTTGTTTTTGACTTTAATTTTTCTAAAAATAACGCTATTCATTTAATCCATTTGATTGGAATTTCTCGTTTAGTTGTCAAAAAAATGTAATGAAAATATTGCCACAATGTTACCTTTTTTTTGTCAACTAATGACTAGTCCAATTACAAATGCCGTATATACAAGCTAACTTACACATATACAAAGAACATTGTACTTAACGCTCAGACTCTTCGATTCTTAAGCCATAGATGGACTTAAGGTCGGGTAATCAGCTTGAGACGATAAATTGGCCTGAAGGTTGTCTAACAGTTTCCAGTTGAATGAAGCTCTTTAAGTAGCACATGAGACCATAGCGGAAGCTTAGTGGATTCTGAGTCCTTTCTAATTTCGCTGCTTCTGTTAAGTGGACACTTATATTTGGTGTTTGGCAAAGAGATAAGAACAACTGAATATGACAGCCACCACACCACTGGGAATAACTCTTAGCATCACCAACTCTATCTTGGCTGTTTTTGGATCAGCCGTCAATCTTCTAGTGTGCATTGTGATATACAAAAACGAGGAACTCCAAAATGGGCTAGACCTTCTTATAGCCAATCTGTGTTTTGCGGACTTATCGGTGTGTTTCATCGCTCAGCCGATGTATGTAGCCTATCTGAATGGAAAACTTAGTGCAGAAACTGAGAACGCTTTTTCTTATATCAGCTTGATCGCCTTACATGCCGTGGCTCTAAATCTCCTAGCGATTGCAGTGAATCGGATGATCGCCATAGCTCACCCATTTACAAACACGTTCATGTTCTCCAAGTTCAAAGTCCTGATGGTGATATGTGCAATTTGGGTTTCAGCAATTGTTGCTGCTGTATTTTTGTTTACAAAACCGGGAAAACTGTTCTCTCCTTATTCTCATATCATGATTATCCTAACGTTCCTATGCTGTTATGCGAGGATTTTTTTTATCGCAAGGAAACAACGTAGGCAAATTAATATACAGATGCAATCAGTCAGTCACAACCATCAAACCGTACGACTTCAAAAAGCAAACAGAGCGAACATAACATCGGCTCTTATTGTCCTATCTCTAATGGCCTGCTTTTTTCCTGATACAGTCTATGACTTTCTACCGATAGAAATCATGGAAGTCAGAAAAAAATGGCTTTTTACTCTGCTTTTTCTAAGTTGTTCAGTCAATCCTTGTATTTACATGTGGAGAACCGAGGTTTTCAAAGTTGCTATGAAAAGAACTCTACGAATCTCGCAATAAAACTCAAATTAAGCATAAACATTCATTCCTAAATGGTGGTAATATTTCGGTATAAAAAAGGCTCCGGACATAAAGTGTCATTCTTTGTTGATATTTTAAATGGAGTTAGAATCAAGGAAACTTGCATGGACATTCGTCTCTTAAATTCGTAGGATAAACGTTCAAGTGACAATGCTCTAGCTCTGGATTAAGAGAGAAATAATTAGAAGAAGAAAAAGAATACTGATGTATGAAAAGAAAAGTCAACAAGAGAAATAAGAACCGATGCAACATGTAGCAGGTTCAATTTAATTTTTCACTGTGAAAATAAAGATTGAAGAATTTTAAAGTCCATAGGCAAATTCTTTATTTACCTTTCTTTTATTAAAATCTTAGATCCACTAAGCATTTTGATATTTATCTTCACTTTACCTCAAACAGGAATTAACTCGTATAACAGCTGAGTTTTGAATCCAACAAGCGAACCATTTTTTATTWATTTCTTATTTTCTATTTTATTTAATTGTTTATATATTTTTTGTAACTTAGTAATTCGGTTGTCATACATAATGCTGTCAAGAGATCCATTGGTTGAATGGAGAAGTTATACTGTAATCAAAGAAGTTCGTTTAGTTTTTAAACTGAACTCAGCAAAACTTTTAATCATTAAGTTAGGTAGAATAATACAAAAAGTCCAGGACGGAAATAGAAATTAGGCCATTGTTTACAAACAACATCAGAGCCGAATTGAAATGAATATGCTATGAGATTATTCCATAAAGCAACTGTGTAAACAAGGAACAATATTGGAAACACGACTGCTTGGATATCATGAAAATAAACAAATACAGCTGAACTGCACTTGATTGAACAATCCCTTGAATTGTACTGTTCTTCAGTTATTTCTGTTAAGAATTTTTTTCTTGCAACCCATTTTTTTCACTGAATTGAACACTGAATAGTGGATGTGATATGTAGCAAGTAAATGGTTTTTATTCTTCACTGAAAACTCAGTGATATGCATGTGAACTGCTTCCTTTTCGTTGAGCTGTATTTGAATCGTATTTTATTATTGAAAATCTGTTAAGCCAAAGACTTCAGTCTCATCTTCAGATGCGTGGTTATATCGGCTTGCTGTACCAAAAAGATTTACGAACATGAATGTCTATTTTATCTTCCGGGAGATCTTTTCGCAAAGTTGGACTTTGAAAAAAAGGGGTGACAACGGAAGGTGAAAACATCGGGGTCAGATTGCCGAAGAACGTCCWACCAGAATACGTACGATCAAACATTGAGTGTCGTATTTCGATCCGGTGTCGATCTTTAAGAAAAAGGAATAGGGAAGAGCTTTGCAGCCATTTGACGAGAACCTCTTTTTCTCTTTCCTCCAAAACTTCCTCGATTTTCCAAAGTTTTTCTTTTTTTACTTGTCTTTTTTTATTTTATTTTTTTCTTCAAAAATGTTTATGTCGAATTCGCAGTTTTAAAACGACGGCCTTTTTGTTTGCCGCTTTTCCGCCACAATCCAAATATGGAATCGATCATACCATATATGGAGTGAGCTTTCTCTACTCCAACTTCGACGCTAACATATAGAGTAAAGCTGGATATGCAAATTAAACAGATATGTCATTCCCAACGAATAATTCTAAAGTCAATATAATGACTAAACTTGCTCTTTCTTCATGAAACCTGCTAACTTCGTTGTAGTAATGAAATAAGGAGAGTTTTTAGATTCGCCTCGTATTTCCGAGTTGAGGACTGGGCCTGAAATGCGATCGCAAAGCATGTATGGATTGTTTTGATCGGACTGGGCGGCCATTGTGAAACCACAAGTACCCACTTGAAAAATGCCTTGAGATATACATAACAATGAAACAGCCGCCATCTTGGTTGATCTAACAAGAGAAGTTCAATCAGGAATGCTTTGTATAGTTAACCAGCATGGCGGCTATGACGTAACATGCTCTAATACTAGGTTTAGTAGCCACTCTTGGTTTCTTTCTACCCAAACAATCTATCGGCATGCGTATACATTGCTTTATTGCATTGCCATTTTTCGAGCCGCTTCCTCTGTTCGGCGTTTTTTACCTTCGGCGAAGTTAGAAACTTGAATTTTTGATACAATCTATTGTAGCTCTTCTGTTTTGGATCAATGCATGAGGATTCAGTTCTTTTCTACTGACTTCTCTACCCATTTTGTAAATTTTGACTCCGCCCGGCATAYATCAAAAACTTTATCCAGTCTTTCTGTGTGGCCATCAAATCTATATCCATATCTAGCGAGCTTACCTTAACCGGAAGTGAACACAGATTTCTTTCTGGTGATTTGTTTTGCCATTTAAAGCTTTAAAATGTCAAAATATTAACCAAACTTGCAGATATTCTAGCGAAGAAACATCTGGATTTGTCTTCCATCTTGAATTTAACTTAGAAACCTGGCCTTTAACAAAGTATTCTGTTTAATTAAAACCACAGGGATCCCACACAAACAACAAAATAAGTCCCACGTGACAAACGAAGTATCTAAAAGTATCTAAAAGAGAGGCTAAAAGAGGCCTCGGTCTTGATAATTTACGATATTGTGCGATAACCGAATTCAATAATTGCTTTATTATACATTTTGTAAACTGGAAAAAAATTAACATGAACTTTAAATTATAGAGACAAGAATTATGAACGCCATGATGTTGCGTGAAAAATGCAAAATTCTCAATTCAGAAATATTTCGAGAATTCTACATAAAATATATGAAAATAAGTTATGTTTACGTGACCAGAACGAGTCAAAACGTCCCCATATAGCCCCCGTCGGTGCAAAGTTTTTACCATCACAAGAGTGATCGCGGGCTCACGCTTTCATACACACCGCCATTTTGAAAATCTTTGTTAAAAACGATCACCAAAATTACACCATAAAAAATAATTGTTTTTAAGACCTTGGAAGCTCAAGCCTACCAGACATTAAATGTGATGGAATGATAAGCCCTTAAGGGGGTTATAGAGGATTTTGTATGGAATACTGAGCTTAAAAACCAAAATGAATGAACGGAAGATCGAGGAAGAAGATCGCCATTGAACGATACGACGTCAAAACCTCACAACTTGAATTTCATTTGAGGGGTCAGATTTCTTTAACAGGTGCTATAGTGGATAGTTTGACCGTGGGCCTCGTACAGATAGATCCATTCTCCCTCCACTTGGGGGATCTTTCTTTTTGTTGGATTTTTTTTTGGTTGAATCAAAGCAGGAAGCTGATATGTCTTGTCCTCATCAAGTTTTTATGAAAAAGATTAATCCAGCAGACTTGAAGATGATGAGAACACAGGTCAGTTAATAATTCCCTGTTGGTAATAATTCCCCTGTTAAGAAAAAGCGTAAGAATTATCCTGTCTCTAGAATTAATTAAGCTTATGGTATTCTATAATTATTGTAAATGTAATAATAGATCCATAAACAACCCTACAGTTGTTAGAAATTATAAGCTAAATTATATCGTTAAGCCTAGACAAGTTGTTTTGTGATCTTGAGTCAATCCAATACACGTTTTAAGATCAATATTAAACTGTACTGTGAATTTCTAAAATATATACTTTTTTTAACTAAACAATGCATGTAAAACATTTATTTAGCTTTATCATTAAAATTAAGCAAAGTTAGGATTTATGTTTAAATGAAATTAATATACTGTAAGTAATATATTTGTTGAAAATGTAAAATGTTTAGATATAACTTGACATCTGATTGGTTGGCTAGCATGTCTCTGTTAGTGGTCAGAGAGCTGCATTGGCAAAAAATACTCACATTTTAAAAATAAAAGCAAATATGATGTATGATAAAAGTTCTGCAGGTAGTTGTAGAGCATTCAGAACCAAGGCATTGTCCCCTCTCATGCTCTACAGGTTGACCCCTGCATATTTATTCCACAAAGTATAAGGATCAAGTGTGTGCACAATAAAGCACACACCCCAGCCAATCAGATATTAGTAAGTTTCATATCAGTTATTCTATCTATATTTTGTTTGTCTCATTTTATGATCTGTACTTTTTAGGGATCTTGTAATAAATGTGACAAAAAAGGAAATGATCTGTGGGCATGTCTACAGGTAAGAGGGAAGGACTTGAGCTCCAGGGCCCAGCTCTCGTACGAAGCCTGGATAGCAGATAAATACTTATCCAGTGAATAGAGTAAGTCGATGCTGTTTTCCAATACATTTATCTGCTGGATAAGATTTATCGTTGGATAGCACTATCCAGGCTTCGTACAACCAGGCCTAGATAAGTCAATATTACTATAACAATGTTGCACTGTGTGTCCGTAGCTTTACTGTATTAATTTAAAAAAAACTTACCCTGAATATCCCAGGACCTGATTACAGTCTCTTATAAATTTATAAATTTAATTCAACCATTGCAATGTTTATGATGAAGCACCAGGAAGTTACTGTACATGTAGGTGTCATGGTTTGAAAATGTGTTTAATCAAGAGAGTAATAGGATTTAAGAATTATGAGTAACTGTTTGATTTTGCAGGACTGTTGTTTATATATTGGATGTGGGAAGTGTAACAGAAATCATATAGAGCTTCATAATCAGGTAGATTTTATATTATCATATGATTAAAAGGAAGAAAGGAGGAAAAGAAGAAAGAAAGAAAGAATGAAAAGAAAAAAGAAAGGAAAAAGAAAAAAGGAAAGAAAGAAAAAATATTAAGAAAGAAAGGAAGTAAGAAAGAAAGAAAGGATGAATTAATGAATAAAGAAAGAAAGAAAGATGTCTCTATTCATCAATCGATATCCAACTATCATAAAACTAGCATAAGAATAAGGAGATGTGTGTGGTTGCTGGAATACATATTTAAAATATAAAGTTTTGAGCCAGTAACCTGACACTATGATATATGTATTGTAATAAGGGACGGACCATTAGATTATTGAGGGAGGGGGGGGGGGGTGGGCAATTTATTTTGTGCAGGATTTTTTTACGCCTTGTGGCTGTGCAGGAATTTTATTTTTTTGGACATACTACGGATTTCATCGAAGTGTGGCATGCATTAAAAAATTCGTCTGCGGATTTGCCTATGAGACGCTGTGACTCCGCCCACTTGGAGGTGTGATTTTGTCTGCATTCCTTTCTCGCGAAATGCACAATAAACATAAGCGAACTTGGTTGTGTTTACAGTAGGGGAAAGAGCATAAGTAGTGATTTGAGATCTCTCGTTATATATGAGATTGTTGAAAGTGGTGGGGATATCATAACAGGATTTTCTCCTGGAAAATTTGTAGAAATTGATCGAAAAATGTCCCCCGCCTCCATACTCAACTTTGAACTTGTACCTTCTACTCGCCGCCATAATTTTGAATTGAACGTTGCACGGGAATAGCCGAGAAAGGAATGCAGACAAAATCACACCTCCAAGTGGGAGAAGTCACAAGCATCTTGTAGGCAAATTCGCAGACAAATTTTTTAATGCGTGCCACACTTCGATGAAATCCGTAGTAATTTGGAAATTTTTTCTGGCACTTTTCTTATGCATGAATTTTTTTTCACTCTTTAAAGCTGTGCTTCATTTTTTTTGGGTTTTTGCCCAAGCACCCATCAAAGATCTAATGGTCCGTCCCTAAATAACTTGTTTTCAGGAAACTGACCATCATCTGTGCATAAATCTGGATGATTACAAAGTCTGGTGTTTTAGTTGTCAATCCAGTGTAGATTCCAGTAGTTCGGGCAGTGGCACACCCAGTCCCGAGGAAATGGAAGTAGCAGATGGAAGAGAAAAGACAACCAATTACAAACACAGGGTGAGGACTTGAAAGTTTTACTACATAAAAAAATTTCCCCAAGAAAATTCCCCCCGAAAAATGACATATATTATTGCTATTTTCAAACGAAAGCTCATTGAATAAAGAAAATGAGTCGGTCATATACTGTTAAAGGTTCCTACACTAGTCAAAGTGGCGCTAGACCAAGAGGAACGATGAGTAATGATGACATGTTGTAGCAAGAAAGGGCAGAGTTTTCTGGTGACCAACAAGAAGAGTCTACTCATGAAGCACAAGCAAATCCACCAGCAAATGAAAGATATCACTATCAGATAGAGAAATTCTTATCCAGTCAATAAAGTGATGCTGTTATCCAATGAATACTGGATAAGATTTATCCGTCTGATAGAACTATCCTCTTTTCGTACAACCAGGTCCTTTTAGTCCTGTCTAGTTTAATTCCATAGGGATTTCATTAGAAGCGAACAACTTCTGCATCTACTTTCCATATATGAGTTCTTTACTTTTGTATTTCACATCCCAGTTTTATGAACTTCATTGATACCACCTCCTAATTAAGTTAACCATCATGTACAGTACTTAAATTAACAAATAGACATCAGTTTTTTATGTGTCTGTCCTCTTATTGATGATAAATTGTTTCATCACATTGTCAAAGTAGTGTGGATCCACAAGGCGTAGCCGAAAACTGATGTCTATTTGTTTTTTATGATAGAGTACAAACACTATAAGYGTGCAACATAAATACCACTAAATACTGCTAAATTATGCTAATTCTATTGCTTATTCTATTCTATTAATTAGCACTATTTACTACTTCTTTGCTTGCTATATTGGCACCCTTCCTTCTAGATGTACATTTGTATGTGCTTATATAATGATGTTAAAGCATTCAAAACCATTTAGGACTGACTTAAAGAAATGGATCTTTAATTCTCTTTGCACAGAATCATGATATTCTTGATGATGATGATTTTTTGGACTTAGAGCAAGGCCTTAAGCCAAGAGGTGAGGTTGGCATGACTGTTTACACTGTAGATGTATTAGTGTGATCATAATGCCTTATGCCATAATAGTTAGAGTAATGTTCAGGGCTTAAAACAATGGCCTGTTATCTGACAATATTCTGCCAGAATTGGAACTTGTCTGGTCAAATCTTTTTGTCTTGCTGGTTATTTTGACCAGTAGCTTTTAACCAGAAACAAGGTATATATGACTGGTGACTGATTGGCCATTATTTTAAGTGCTGAATTAAACTTGTCTCACAAAAAAAAAATAAAAAAAAATGTAGTACTTAGTAGACACATTTCATTGTTTGCTTTTGCTTTTGACTATTGCTCACTTATTGTACTCTACGATTTTGTTTCACCACAGGTAACCCAAGCTAGTTTTTTTTCACTGGCAAAGTAAAATCTCTATAGTAACATTTCTGTTTGATCTCTAGGATTATGTGGGCTAATGAATATTGGCAATACTTGCTACATGAATGCTGCTCTTCAAGCATTATCCAATTGGTATGTACATGTAATATACATGTGTGTTTTCCCCCAGTTTTACCTAGTACTTATTGATTTGCTTGATTTTCTCTTTCTGGGCTTGCTCGATAAAAATCAAAAAATCATGTTTAAAAAATAAATAAGATAATATTCATAATAATAATGATAATGATAATAATAATATATTTTTTGACATCCTAATATGGAGAGTTGTTGCTGAGTCTTCATCACTCATTACGCTCATTACTCATGATCAGTACTATCTCTACGTCTAATATTATAAGCACGCAACTTGGAACTTACCTGTTGATTTTTATAGATCAAGGATGGGAAACTGTACCCAGAGAAAAAACAAACTTTCAAACAAACCTTTTTTCTTGTGGTATAGGTTTTTATATTTTTCTTTTCAGTTGAAAAAAATTGGGATAGCTTTGGTCGAAATTTCTGTGACTGCCAAGATATTTTTCAACCAAAATTTCCTCTTAGAGTACACCCATATGACAGTCACTGTATGTATTATTCTTTTATCTTACATTTCAGCCCGCCACTGACCCAGTTTTTTTTGGAGTGCAATGGTATGATCAATGAAAACATTAAACATCCAGGTTTATCAAGAAACTTCTACAGTTTAATAAATGAATTGTGGTCTAGAAAGAGGTACTGACAATGCATGAATTAGAGCATGGCGGATGTAGAGGTCATTTAACTATTAATATATCAATAAATATATTTTCCTATTTATTTATGTGTTCATCCATCTATTCATTTGTTTCATCATTATTTTTTTTACATTTTGCATTTCTCCCATTTCTCATTTGTCTTTTTTCTTTCCAGACCCAAATATATCGTCCCATCACAGTTTCTTCGCAGTGTACGGATAGTTAACTCCCAGTTCAGGGGGTATGGACAACAGGTAAGCCATTCACTTTTTTGTTACAAAGAACAAGTATTTTCTATGTGTGGAATGGCGTTAATTATAAGGCCAYGCTCTCCCCCAGTTAATTGACAACTACTATACGACAACATTTTTTAACATAAGCATTTTTTAAATCTTTCATTAAGGATGCACAAGAATTCCTGCGATGTATTATGGATCGATTACATGAGGAACTCAAGCAGCCAATCATGAGCTATTCTAGGGTGTCATGTGACACATCTGATGAAAGTGATGAGCCAAACCACCAGGCTAAACGACTGTTGGGCGGGACTTCTGTTCTGGCACGCCGCAGACATGGTAAGCGCTATGGGTTACCTGTGGTTTTTCACAGATTCTTACGTATGGGTTAGGTTGTGGGATAGAAGGGATCTACAAGAGAGTTAGAGAGAGCGATCTGTAACACATATTTTCTCTCTTCTCATTAACCAAGAGGATGTCACATGTCAACATCACATTTATTTACTGGTGAATAACAAAACCGGAAGTATTTCACCGGAAATGTACGCTTTCCTATGTTTTTAGAAAATCTGCAAATAATCAAAAAATAAAATTATGTTTTGTGTTCTTTGATAACTTGTTACATTGTATATACCAGAAAACCTATTGACTGTAACCACTAGAAAGCAGTGTGTTTGTGGTCCCTCGACTAAGATGTTCGCACTGTTTCCCTCGGTCCCAGTAAATACGTTTTAAGTGTTCCATAACCTTAAAATTGTAGGTCAAGACATTGAAATGTTATGCGAAAGCAGTGACGATGGCGACGACTCCAGAGACAAGGACTCCGAAATGCCTCTAGACAAACGAAGGTCAAGTGCTGTTCTGGACACCTCTGATGTCCAAATAGACATTGAAATGGAAGAAGAACAGACAGAAACAGAAAAATCGAAGCACTCAGAAAAATTAATAGCTAATTCATACAGCAATGGAAAATGTGTTCAGGGTACGAAACTTGCAGAGGAAGAGGTCAATAATAAGCCGAGTTTTAGCGATAAGAAACCAGAAAGTGCTGCACTTACGTCTGAAGGCCAAAAAACCAAAGAGAATAAACACATTTATCATGAGGATCATTCAGCAGGTATAGTATCACGTGGCTGGTTTGAAGCTCTGAGAAAAAAGCTACAATCTCCTGCACAATAGAATGTACCACCTAGTATTCTGGAGGACCATCCCCCCTCTCCCCTCTCCCCCCGTAACAATGTCGTCTTGCATGCATTTTACCATCCAATGGCTTCACAGGCTAGAAAACACCTTAGACCAACATTGCTAGAGGGGAAAGGGGGAAAGTTGCACATTATTTATGCAGAAGATTGTAGGCTTTCTTTTTTGCAATCGGAGACGCGATCACGGTTAACTGCACATCAATCGCGGCCCGATCGCGGTCATGTGACGTGACGTGATACTTTATATTGTGTTGTTGTTTGTACCTGAGCTAGACCAAAATGCACCTTGTTTCATGAAATCAACCTGCTAACAAGAAATGAAATAGCTAACATTTATTTCCTGGTTTTTTTTAACATGTCTTTCAGAAGTCATAAAGAAGACTTCAACATATCGCAGTATCATAACAGACTTGTTCGATGGCAAAGTCCAAAGTTCTGTACAGTGTTTGACTTGTAACAGGGTATGTGTATTCTTGTCCTTTGTATCCCTTTTCATAAAAAAAAGGTCCGCCATGTTGGTTGACATGTCATCCAATATGGCGGTACTGACGTCACACGCAACCCAAGACTCACTTTCCTGTATATTTTTCTACCACGCGCACAGAGGATACAGGATGAAATGCTGCATATTAATCTTCAAAAAAATTATTTGATCATGTGAACAACGTTAATTTTTTAAATTCAAATTTGTTTCAATTCACTTTTAGATTTCTTCGAAAATCGAGACATTCCAAGACCTTTCATTGCCCATTCCAGGTACGTAGATATTGATAGCTCTTTTTACTGTGAAATGCCTTTTTACTGATACGGCCGAGGAGGCAAACACGTAGAAAATTTATAAAACATAATGTGGCGAAGTTATGTTTTCGAATAAATATATTCGCATATTGTTCCATTTACCAGCAAATTCAATTGCTTTTTAGATGTGCTTCCCATCGAGAAGCGTAAAGTTATATAAAAAGACACGCTGACAGCTGTGCAGTCTATACCTTTTCCAATAGTTACCCCCTCGGTATCCCATAATGTTTTGATTAAAACGATAGAATTCAAGATGGCGGCCTTATCCGGGTAAGGAGGCCTATTTGTCGGGGTATGTTTGATTGTTTGCTGGAAGGCATCAAGTAATCGTACGAGCAGTCTTGGAGTAGCGATTATGCGATTCATTTTAAACGTTTTAATATGAATTCAATATCAATATGAAAACCTTTTTCGGAAAGAAGGACTAAGGAAATCTTTTAATTTTTAAAATTTTCTTTGTTTTTTCTTTTTYTTTTTGGTCTTGTTTGTTGTCTCATGATTGAAAAATGGAATTCTATCATCTCGTAGTAGTTCGCATTCTGATAATATTTTGTTGAATGTTAGGCAAAGATGAATTGAATGTGATCCATGCTGCACAATGTTCACCGCTTGCATCTTGTGCGAGAAGAGATGATCTGTCTAATGACGAGAAGAGTTGGATGATGTCGATTCTGGATTGGGTTAAACGGTACGAAATATTTCGTAGATACTATAGTAAATTTTTAAGGTATACAAAGATATATATAGATAAAAAGATGAAGGAAGGAAGGAAGGAAGGAAGGAAGGAAGGAAGGAAGGAAGGAAGGAAGGAATGAATAACTTGCCATTTTTTGTGTCTCTTCAGATGGTTTTATGGCCCACAAGTCACGTTACAGGATTGCCTCTCAGCTTTCTTCTCGGCCGATGAACTTAAAGGTTAGTCAGGTTGTGTGTCATCTTTACCTCTATCTCTATCTTTACCAACACCTCTGCAAGGGCTATCACTATACTCAGGTTGTGTGTCATCTTTACCTCTATCTCTGTCTTTACCAACA